CAGAGGGAGAAGCAGGCACCCTGTGGGCAGCCTGATGCGGGACTCTATCCTGGACCCCAGGATCACACCCTGAGCCAAAGGCAGACTCTCAACCACCAAGCCACCCAGGCATCTCGAATCTCAAGACTTTAAAAATCATTGCCATATCTTTTGGAGATCACCTTCAAAGAAACTCCTGTGATTATAATTGGTTTCTCTCCCCGATAATTCATTGCCTTGTTGATTTTCCTATATTACTGAACAGAAAGATAAGTAAGCTCTGTCAAGACAATAGTCTCAGGGGCATGTTGCTTTTCTTCCAAATTAATGGTGGAAAAAATCATAAAAACCTATGATGTGCTTGGCTTCTTAGTTAACCAAAACATTGGGAATTTTGTCTTAAATTGGCCTATCGATCAAATACAGCTTGTCGACTTGTAGATTTGAATCCTGATTTTTAAAAAAACTGACAGGGATGCCTGGGTGGCTCAGTGGTTGAGCATCTGCCTTTGGCTCAGGGCGTGATCCCAGACTCCCAGGATCGAGTCCCACATTGGATTCTTTGTGTGGAGCCTGCTTCTCCCTCTGCCTGTATCTCCACCTTTCTCTCTCTCTGTATCTCTCATGAATAAATAAATAAAAATCTTTTTTAAAAAAAACTGACCAAAGAATATATTTGATATTATTGAGGTAATATGGATACTGGCTGGATTATGAGATGGTAGCAAAGATACTACTATGATATTGCTTTGGTGGTTATTATATATTTTTTAAAACAGATTCTCATCTGATAAAGATAGCTATGTACTAAAATATTTTGGGATTAAAAAGATACGTTCACAAGAAATTTACTCAGTAAAATCTAATTATTTAATAGCTACTATTACTTAAAGTTGTTTTTTTTTTTTAGTGTAGTTGACACACAATATCACTTTGTTTCAGGTGTACAAAAGAGTGATTCAACTTCTCTATATGTCACACTATGCTTACCACAAGTGTAGCCACCATCTATCACCATACAACACTATCACAGTCTCATGGACCATACTCCCTATGCTGCATTTTATATTCCCATGACTTAATCCATAGCTGGACACCTGTATCTCTCTCTCCCCTACACCTATTTTGCCCATCCCTACCCCCTTTCTTTCCGGCAACCATCAATTTGTTTTCTGTATTTTTAGGTTTGATTCTGCTTTTTATTTATTCATTTTTTAGACTCCACATATGAATGAAATCATATGGTATTTGTCTCTCTCTCTTAGTCTGACTTACTTACCGACTTACCTACTTACCAAGTGTTGGCACAATACCCTCTAAGTCCATCTGTGTTGTTGCAAATGACAAGACCTAATCCTTTTTATGGCTGCATAATATTCCTCTGTGTGTGTGTCACTTCTTCCTTATCCATTCATCTATTGATGGGTACTTAGGTTGCTTCCATATCTTGACTATTGTAAATAATGCTGCAATGAGTTTAAGGGTGTATGTATCTTTTCGAATTAGAGTTTTCATCTTCTTGGATAAACACCCAGTAGTGAAATTATTGGATCATAAGGTATTTCTATTTTTAATTTTTTGAGGAACCTCCATACTGCTTTCCATGATGGATGCATCAGTTTGCATTCCCACCAACAGTGCAAGAGGGCTCCCTTTTCTCCACATCCTTATCAACACTTTTATTTATTGTATTTTTATTTTAACCATTCTGACAGGTACTTTATTATGGTTTTGATTTGCATTTCCCTGATGATTAGCAATGTTCATCATCTTTTAATGTGTCTGTTGACAATCAGTATGTCTTCTCTGGAAGAGCGTCTATTCAGATCATCTGCCCATTTTTAAAATTGGATTGTTGGTGGTTTTTTTTTTTTGGTGTTGGGCTATATAAATTCTTTATATACTTTGAGTATTAACTCCTTATCAGGTATATCATATGCAAATATCTTCTCCCATTCAGTAGGTTTCTTTTTTGTCTTGTTGATGGTTCCTTTGCTATGCAGAAGCTCTTTATTTTTATGTTGATGTAGTCTCAATAGTTTTTTTTTAGCTTTTTCCCCTTTTGCTTTAGGAGACATATCTAGAAAAATGTTGTTATGGCTCACATCAGGGAAATTACTGCCTGCGTTCTTTTCTAGGATTTTTATGGGTTCAGGTCTCTTAGATCAGAAACAAGACAAGGATGTCCATTCTCATCCATTTTATTCAAAATCATCCTAGACGTCCTAGCTATAGCAATCAGACAGAAATAAGAGGCATCTAATCAGTAAGGAAGAAGTTAAATTTTCACTATTTGCAGATGATATGATATTGCACAAAGAAAACCCTAAAGACTCCACAAAAAAATATAAGAATAAATGAATTATGTGAAGTTGCAGGATATAAAATTAATATCCAGAGGTTGGTAGCATTCCTATACAGACTAATAACAAAGTAGCAGAAAGAGAAACTAAGAAAACGATCCATTTACAATTGTACCAAAAAGAATAAAATACCTATGAATAAATTTAATCAAGGAAGTGAAAGAACTGTACTCTGAAAACTATAAAACATGAATGAAAGAATTTTTTAAAAAAATTTATTCATGAGAGACACACATACAGAGAGAGGCAGAGACATAGGCAGAGGGAGAAGCAGGCTCCATGTAGGGAGCCCGATGTGAGACTTGATCCTGAGACTCCAGGATTATGCCTTGAGCCCTGAGCAAAAAGCAGACGCTCAACTGCTGAGCCACCCAGGCATCCCTGAATGAAAGAAATTAAAGAAATAGAAAGGTATTCCATGTTCATGGATTGGAAGAATATTGATAAAATGTCCATACTACCCAAAATAATCTACAGACTTGATGTGATGCCTATCAAAATAGCAACAGCATTTTACACAGAACCAGAACAAATAATACTAAAATTTATATGGAATCACAAAAGATCCCAAAATAGCCAAAGCAATAACAATTACTATAATCATAATCTATCAGGCATAAGCATGGCCCTATCCATTCCCCTCCACCCCTAAAAGCAACCACAACCTGGTGCAAGTCTCTTTGTTTGTTTTATTATTTTAGAGAGAGAGAGTGCCTGCATGTGTCCCCCCCCCCCAGTGCGCATGTGCATGTGAGAGCACGGTGGCAGGGGGAGGGGCAGAGGGAGAAGGAGAAGCAGACTCCCCACTTAGCAGGGAGCCTAATGTTAGGCTATGCAGTTTGAGAGTCAGGGGACGTGACTTTTCTTCTTGGTGCCCTGCTACAAGGACACACATGCAGTTTCCATAATTGTATCAACATTTCTTATCTTACAGTTGCTCCTCTCATTGCCTTTCTTGCTTCTCAGCTTATATCCTCCTCATAAATCCCCTTTCAATGAAATTTTGGGAAGAAATGTGTTATGTCCCATTGGCATGTTTATGTGAAAGTCCTTATATCTGTCCCTAAATTCAGCAGTCCCAAATTCTAAGCTTTTTATTTTCTAAGATTTTATTTATTCATGAGAGACATACAGAGAGAGGCAGAGACATAAGCAGAGGGAGAAGCAGGCTTCCTGCAGGGAGCCCAATGCGGGACTCGATCCTAGGACCCGAGATCACACCCTGAACCAAAGGCAGACGCTCAACCACTGAGCCACCCTGGTGCCACCCAAATTCTAAGCTTTACAAGAGTTCACTTAAAAAAAAAAAGATTTTATTTATTTGTTCATGAGAGATGCAGAGAGAGAGGCAGAGACATAGGTAGGAGAAGCAGGCTCCTCGCAGGGAGCTGGATGCAGAACTCGATCCCAGGACCCAGGACCACGACCTGAACTGAAGGTAGACGCTCAACCACTGTGCCACCCAGGTATCCCAAGTTCACTCCTTGTTTCAACCTTGAGTTTTTCTCATTCACAGCACTTCACTTAAAATTTAGAAAACCTTAAATTTCAATAATATTTAAAGGGTTAAAATTCACATATCAATTTCAGCCAATTTAGAAAACATATATAACCAAAGGAAAAAAATACTGAGCACAATTCTACTACTCAGAAAATAACACTTTAAAAATACTAGATATACCCTTCTAGATTTTTCCATGTGCAAGTCAGCTCCTGCCTATTGCCTGGGTCCACTGTCTGGATTGTCTCCTGTTCTGTCTACACTTCAACCAGATGTGGAACATGACTCCCTGAGTTCTTCTGAAGGGCTTCGTTACACCAGAGATCTAATGACAGAAGATTTCACAGAAGAGATTTCACCCACAAGGTAGTTCACATCACGTTCCACAGCAAACAACTTACAAACCCACCACAGACATTTCCTTCTTCAAATTCCTTTTCTGCCATACTGCCTTTCAGTAAGTGTTCTTCTGCCTTACCCTTTCTTTATAGGGCCTGTTCTCTTGTTCTCCAGGATCCTGACCCTTCCCTGATGCCCTATGAGTTCTCATCTCTTTGCCCTCCACCCTGGCCCTGCTCTTGCCTTTAGGGTTCCTGGGACACAATCCAGAAGTTGTTCACATTACTTTGCTCACATCCTATGAGCAGAAGAACCCACAATTTCCTAAGGCAGAGAAACGTTGTTTGTTTGTTTGTTTTTAAGATTTTATTTATTTTATTGGGGAGGGACAGAGGAAGAGGGAGAGAGAGAATCAGACTCCCTGCTGAGTGCAGAGCCCAATGCAGGGCTCACAAGGCTCAATCTCATGATCCTGAGATCATGCTCTGAGCTGAAACCAAGAGTCAGATGCTCAAATGACTGAGCCACTGAGGTGCCCTTAGAGAAATGTAGTTCTTATTCTAGATTGCTGGGAGCCCAGCTATTTGCTGTCACTGTGCAGAAGGGGACGATGGTGATGGAAATTCAGCTAGCAGTTTCTCCCATGCTTTGCATATTCATGGATATGCCTTAGAAGTGGGTGGCTGACTTCTGTGCTGTTGGAGGACTCAGTGGGTCAGGCCTGAAGGAAGTGACTTGAGAGTGTATTGCAATAGTCATTTCCTGATAGAGACTAGAAGACAGAAACTGCAGGCATGTAGAGTGGAGGGCTGAAAAACCAGAGGCAAAGCTGTTCCTGTATGTCCTGGAGTCGAGAACATTTGGCTAATCACCAACAGCAAGACTGAAGGAAGATCCTTGGAAGAGGCTTGTATGGCTGCCATGATGTCCCAACTCCTGGTTGTGCTCTATACTGGTAAATCTTGGGGAAGGGCAGTCACTATGGGAGGTGGGGCTGGTCTGGGGCAGCAGCTGGAGCTGGCAGGGCCTGCAGGGCAGGGTGTGGAAACAGAGACTAGAACCTTCTACAGAAGTTTTATTAAAACTAGAACGCTGAATACAAATTCTGTACACAGGATATGTCGGGGGCTTTACACACATTTTCCTGTTTCCCCAAACTCAGTCAACCCTGAATTTCCTAATGACATTTTTCCCTCTGTACGTGGCATCTGTATTCTTTCCTATGTTATCTTCCTCTTCAAATTCCCCAGGTTTTTAATGTTATTATTTTTGTACTCAACTCTATCTTAAAAGAAAATCTGTAGAATACTTCTATTAATGGAAAATCAGTGTCCATCCTCAAAAACAGACCCTCTGGTCCCTGGGCCACAGTTTTCTGTTTCTGAGAAGTAGCAGTAAATGCGAGAAGCTGGCTGCAGACCAGCACTGGGCTGTGGTATTCCTCCACGGGATCGGAGAGAGAACCAGGAACCCAGAAGAGAGAGATTTTCTCACACAGGCTCAGCGATACTCTCCTGTCATTGCATGACCTTACATCTCTTAGAGAAATTCCCCCAAATAGTTCTCTTCCCCATACTTCATTCAAAGAATCCGAAACTCACAGCTGAAGTATGTGCCAAGGCCACTCAGCTACTATGTGAAGAAGGTGAATTCAAATTCTGGTCTGCACCATACCAAAAGTCATAATTTTCTATTGGGCAATATGAAGGAATTTAAAAGGTCCTAATTTGGGGGTCTAGGGGTAGAAATGTCTGGAGGGTGAGTGAAGGGAGTTGTGGCTAGAAAAACCTCAAGAAGGTAAGTGAACATTGGATCCAGTGATCTAAATAGGTGTTGGCAATCTTCTCCTGTATAGGGCCTGAGAGACAGGCTCTGTGGGCTGCATGATCTCTGCTGCTACCACTCAACACCTGTCAGAATGGCTGTCATCAAGAAGACAAGAGGCAACAGGTGTTGGTGAGGACGTGGAGAATAGGGAATCCTCACGCACTGCTGGTGGGGATGCAAACGGGTGAAACCACTCAACACCTGTCAGAATGGCTGTCATCAAGAAGACAAGAGGCAACAGGTGTTGGTGAGGACGTGGAGAATAGGGAATCCTCATGCACTGCTGGTGGGGATGCAAACGGGTGCAACCACTGTGGAAGACAGTATGGAGATTCCTCAAAAAGTTAAAAGTAGGGCTCCTAGGTGGCTCATTTGGTTGGGTGTCTGACTCTAGATTTTGGCTTAGGTCATGAACTCAGGGTCATGAGTCTGAACCTCATGTTGGGTTCTACACTGAGCATGAGCCTGCTTGCTTTCTCTCCTTCTTCCTCTGCCCCTCCCCCACATACTCACAGTCTCTTTCTAATAAAAATTTTTTTAAAAGCTAAAAGTAGAACTACTATATGATCATCAATCTCACTTTGGGGTTACATATCTGAAGAAAATTAAAACAGGAAATTGGAGGAATGTCTGCACCTCCATGTTTTTTGCAGCATTATTAACAACAGCTAAGGCATGGAAATGACCTAAGGGTCCATCATGGATAAATGACTACAGAAGATGTGGTCTGTATGTATAATGGGATATTATTCAGCTGTGAGGAAGAAGGAAATCCCACCATTTGTGACAACATGGATGGACCTTGAGGGTTTTACATGAAGTGGAACAAGTCAGACAAAGACAAATACTGCATGATCTCACTTTTAGGATCAGTTTGGTCTAGATCTGAAAGTAAGGCCACCAGAGGGGGTAGATGGGGAACATACACTTCATCCTTGCAAGCAATTCCGATCTTATATTTTTGAGATTGACTCTGGGGCACCAAGGAGATGACTCATGCCAACCATCATACCAGGGATGCATTTAGGCTATTTCCCAAGGGCAGACAAGTATCTTCACACAAAGGACTGCATTCTCAGCAGCTACATGTCCCTTATCATAGGATAGGGATCTCCCCACCTCCTTCCCCTGCTCTCAGTTGACGCAGATGGTTATGCTGTTGTGTTGGGAGGGATTTGGGAAATAATTTCTGGGACTTCAGAAATCTTTGCAAATGACTCTCTTTACATAAGATTCAGACTCCACTGGTAATCATATATTTATTGAATATTTGCCAAAGTCTGTGCTGTGTTCCAGGTGCTGAGGATGTATTCTCTGCCCTCAAGGAGCTTAAATTCTTTTTTTTAAATTGTTTTTTTAAATTATTTTATTTATTTATTTATTTATTTATTTATTTATTTATTTATTTATAATAGTCACAGAGAGAGAGAGAGAGAGAGAGAGAGAGAGAGAGGCAGAGACACAAGCAGTCTCCATGCACCGGGAGCCCGACGTGGGATTCGATCCCGGGTCTCCAGGATCGCGCCCTGGGCCAAAGGCAGGCACCAAACCGCTGCGCCACCCAGGGATCCCAAGGAGCTTAAATTCTAGTGACTCCAAATCTCTTCAGGACCCAATAGCATCAGGAATAATAGGTGTCTCTAGAACCTAAGTGGTTGGATTTCCCCCCAGTCAAATGGTTTGGGTCATAATTAAGATCTTTCTCACACTCTAGAAGCCATGATATGAGGGGAAGAGTAGATCCTGTGCCCTCTGCAATGTTGACATGCTCAGGAGACAGCTTGAGTGACACACTTAGCATAACAGTGATGATCAGGAGCCAAGCATAGTGCCCCATGTCCTTCACCATGCCCTCCACCATGAAATCTAAAGAGGACATCACAGAATACAACAGATGAGTAGGATGGATGGGTAAAGGGGGGGAAATCCTTGGACTCTGAGGCAAAATGGCAAGGCCATCCAAAGTCCTGGGGCCATTGTAAGGAGAGAGGACCCTGGGACGGTGAAGTGGGACAACATGAGAAATGACAGAGAGACTGAGATAGACTCCCAAGGATGTCTGTGTCCTGACTCCCTGGAGCTGTGGGTACATTCCTGGATGTGGCAAAGAAAATCCAAGTGGCAGGTAGTATTATAGTTGCTTATCAGTTGACCTTAAGGTAGGGAGTTGCTTCTGAATTATTTGGGTGGTCAGAGTGTAACCACAGGATCCTTAGAGTGTAGCAAAACAGGTACAAGAGGTGTCAATGCACCAACCATTGCTAGTTTTAGAGCCAGAGGAGGAGACCACCACCAAAGGGTGTGGGCGTGTCTAGACATGGAAAAGACCAGGAGATGGGTTTCATCTATAGCCTCCAGAAGGAAATCATCCCCAAAGAACCCTGGTGTTAGCCAGTGGAACCTGTGTTGTTGGACTTTTGTAACCCACAGAACTGCAAGATAATAAATCTGTGTTGTCAGGAGCCATTAAACTTGTGACAATTTGTGACACCAGCAGCCCTAGGAAATTAACATGAGGGGCAAACCAGCACCCATGCCAGATGGGCTCTCCTGCAGGAGTCTGAGACTGTCACTGAGTGTGATGACGGGAGTACATTCTCAGCAGGAGCCCCAGGGAGGCCCCTCAGGACAGGGCTCCAGGCGGATGCTCGTGTCTCATGGATGATTCTCTCACAGGGCTGTGCGCTGGCCGAGGAAACAGGATGACTGATGGTGAGTTTCTTCAGTTAGATCCTCTCTCTCCTTCACTCCAAACTCACCGTGTCCCTTCTCTTTACTTTTTTTTTATAATAAATTTATTTTTTATTGGTGTTCAATTTACCAACATACAGAATAACACCCAGTGCTCATCCCATCAAGTGCCCCCCTCAGTGCCCATCACCCATTCACCTCCACCTCCCGCCCTCCCCCCCTTCCACCACCCCTAGTTCGTTTCCCAGAGTTAGGAGTCTTTATGTTCTGTCTCCCTTTCTGGTATTTCCCACACATTTCTTCTCCCTTCCCTTATATTCCCTTTCACTATTATTTATATTCCCCAAATGAATGAGAACATACACTGTTTGTCCTTCTCCGATTGACTTACTTCACTCAGCATAATACCCTCCAGTTCCATCCACGTTGAAGCAAATGGTCGGTATTTGTCGTTTCTAATGGCTGCACCCTGATGTTTATAGCAGCAATGTCCACAATAGCCAAACTGTGGAAGGAGCCTCGGTGTCCATCGAAAGATGAATGGATAAAGAAGATGTGGTTTATGTATACAATGGAATATTACTCCCTTCTCTTTACTTAAAGGGACTTCCTGAGAGCAGCTCAGGCACCAAATCCCATCCCCAAATCTGCTTCCTTCCAGAGACCCTTCCCAAGCCCTCCCTCAGGGCCTGGCCCAGCTGGATAATGCCTCCCAAGAGCAATGTGACACTGCAATGCCACACTTCCACCAATGATGTCAACTTTGCTCTCAGAAAGGGAAATGTTCCTGTGGAGTTCCCACAATCACCAGATTCCACAGAGGGCATGGCTCTTTTTCTCCTCACTGACCTAGAGGCCAGCAGCTCTGGACCGTACACCTGCGAATACTACAGACGAGAGCCTCCCCAAATAAGTTCACAGCCCAGTGACATTCTCCTCCTGCTGGTGACAGGTGAGGAGGGTGCTTTGGAGTGACAGGGGCAGGTGTGGGGGAGGAACCCCAGGGAGGGGGGGGAGCGGCAAGGGGAGACGGAGAAACACAGCAGCAGAACGACTTGGCTGGGCTTCACCCAGGGCTTGTAGTCAGAGTCAGAAAAGGGTGAGACCAGGGATCTGTCATCTCTCCTGCTTGGCGGGACCCCTGCCAGGAGAACGGGGAGGGGGGGATCTCAGGCTTCTCCCTGTGACCTTGGAGCCCTCTTCTCTTCCAGGAGAGTTCCCTAAACCTTCCCTCCAAGCCCACCAAAGAGGTGTGGTGACCGCAAGAGAAAACGTGACCCTGCAGTGTCAGAGGCCAAACAATTCTTTCGAGTCTGTAAAGTTTGCTTTGCTGAAGGCGGGAGCAGCAGAACCCATAAGGGTCCAGGGTCCAGCAAAGAAGAAGATGAACTTCTCCCTCAGGAGTGTGACAGTCAGTGATGCTGGGAACTACAGCTGCGTGTACTTCCTGATGAGTGCTCCTTTCTGGGCCTCGGAGCCTAGCAACCATCTTGAGATCACAGTGAAAGGTGAGGTGTTTACTGTCAGGAGGACGGCAGATGGATTACCTGCCTGCTGAGCTGCTGGAACCTGAGAGAGTGAGGTGTGGACACTGTCTCCACAAGACTCTGCAACTTGGAGAAATCATTTAGGAAAATCCAAGTGAGGGCCAGTATTCTGTGGAATAGTGTAGAGGATCTTGTGCCAAGGAAGGAGTGCAAATGGTGGAGAATCATATAAAAGGAGGCTGGGTGTGGGCTTCCCGGTGCAGGTAGCCAAATATGCTCTGAGGACACCAGGTGTGAGTGAGGGGGGATTTGCAATTGACCCCCACTAAGAAAATAAGAAGTAGCCACAAAACTGTCACATATATCCTGGGCAGGGCACAATTAATTTAGACTAACGTGTGAATGACACCTCCTGGGGTTAGGCAGGAAGAGGTTCTAGCAAAATGGTGGATGAGGAGGGAGAGAATAACAGAGAGCCCAGGAGCATCTTTCTGAGAAAGACTCAGAGACTCAAGGAAGATCTGTGTTCCATTTTCACTGGGAATCTAGCACTCTTGCCTTTTAGCTCAGCTGAGTTGAGCTTTTCTCTTCCTAGAAAGTTGAGCCCTTTCTTTCTTTTGGAGAGGAATGATTTTAATTTATTTTTATTTAAAAAAATATTCATTTGAGAGAGACTGTGTGTGCATGAGTGAGTGCACATGAGTGGGGCAGGGGCAGAAGGAGAAGCAGACTCCCTGCTGAGCAGGGAGACCAATGTGGGGCTCCATCCCAGGACCCCGAGATCAAGACCTGAGCCGAAGGCAGACACTTAACTGAGTCACCCAGGTGCCCAAGGGGAATGATTTTTAAAAACCATGGCAAAAGTGCCTAACATAAAAGTTACCATTGTAAGTATTTTCAAGTGCACAGCTTAGAAGTGTCAAGTGCACTTGCACTGTAGCCTAGCTGCTGCCACCACCACCAACACCTGCCTCCAGAATGCTTTTCATCTTGCAGAATCGAAACTCTGTCCCCATCAAACAGCCTCTCCACACCCCACTCCCCCAGCACCCTCCATCCTATGTTGTCTCAATGCATCTGACAAATCCAGGAACCTCACGTAACTGGAATCATACCGTATCTGTCCTTTTGTGACTGGCTTTTCTCACTCTGAATCATGTCTAAAGGTTCGTGCATACTGTAGCAGATAGCTGGATTTCCTTCCTTGTCAAGGTTGACAATGGTCCATTTTATGAACGGACCACATTTCATGTACCTATTCATCCACTGATGGATATCTGGGTCATTTCCACCTATTTGACTACTGGCCCATCACCTGCTGGCCGCCTACTGGGTATCAGTTCTTTTGGATGTATACTCAGAAATGGGATTGCTGGATCACAGGAGAGTTCTACTTTTAGTTTTTTGAGGACCCACCACCATCCTGTTTTTCATAGTGGCCACACCATTCTACATTGCTATCTACAGTGCATATGGGTTCTGTAGGTCTGTTCAGGAAAGGGATTTTTTTTGTTTATTTGTTTGGTTTTTTTAAATATTTTATTTATTTATTCATGAGAGACACAGAGAGAAGGCAGAGACATAGGCAGAGGGAGAAGCAGGCTCCCTGCGGGACTCAATCCCGGAACTCCAGGATGACACCCTAAGCCAAAGATAGACGCTCAACTGCTGAGCACCCAGGCATCCCAGGAAAGGGACGTTTTTTTTACCCTTGTGCACCAGGGCTATTTTGTGAGTTTGTCCAGGATGAGGGTAGGAAGAGAGGCCAGTAGGAACCAGGCATCCTCCTGGATGGGGGCTGAGTTCCCCTGTATTGATACAAGGACCAGAATTTCCTAAAAGCTCATGGGGCAGGGATTCAGAGGTCCTGAGAAATGTCATACAGTATATGAGAAGAAGAGAAGTCAGCTGCCCTGAGTTAAAACTATAGCTCTGGCACTCGCTGTGAGTATCCTGCAACTCATTTCTTGGTATGCCTTTCTGGGGGGAGCAATGCACACATCGGACCCATACAACTTCTATGAGAAGGAGAGGGAATATAGCTGATCAATTATAACAGATAGTTTTCATGATTATATTAGTCAAGACACTTGGTTGCACCTACTTTGAAGTGACCTAGGAAAAGTTAGGGGAATCTATCAGTCTTTGGAATTGAAGAGGTCATTCAGGGTGTCCTAACCTGGCACTACTGACACTTTTTTGCTGGATCATTATTTTTGTGTGTGTGTGGGTGGGGTGGGGAGAAAAGTGCATCCTGTGCATCATAGGATGTTCAGCCCCATCTCTGATCTCCACCTGCTACAAGTGTCCTTTGCCAGCTGTGACACCCACAAGGTCTCCAGACACTGCCCAATGTCCCACAGAGGCAAGGCGAGGCCAGGCCTGGCTGGAAACCACTGGGATCACAGGCCAGGAAATCGTGGGAAGTGCGTGGATGCCACTTGGCTTCAGAAACTAGAATGAAAAAAAAAAAGAAAAGAAACTAGAATGAGGGACTGGTTTCATTCTCTTTTAGTGGGGACCAGTTCCTTCTTTTGGGCAGAGAACATGACTTTTTTTTTTTTTTTAATTTTTTTTTTTAATTTTTTATTTATTTATGACAGTCACACAGATAGAGAGAGAGAGGCAGAGACACAGGCAGAGGGAGAAGCAGGCTCCATGCACCGGGAGCCCGACGTGGGATTCGATCCCGGGTCTCCAGGATCGCACCCTGGGCCAAAGGCAGGCACCAAACCGCTGCGCCACCCAGGGATCCCGAACATGACTTTTAAGAGCTGAGTTTGCAGCTCATAAATTCTACTCCTGGAGAACCATCTGACTCTCCTTCCCAGACCCAGTTCAAAACAGACACACACAGACAAAGGGACCTGGGGCAGAGGATTGGGAGATGGGGTGGAGGTTTGTGAACAGGTCTGGTCAGCTCAGCCTCTAGGTTGATCCTAGGAAATGCTCTCTCAGGAGGATGCTGTGCAAGAAAAACTCAGGTCCATCCTGGGTGACTTGATTGTAGGAGGCAATGAGCAGTTCCTAAAAAAGAGGAGAGGTGATACCTTCTGATCCTAGGGTCTCAAAGTTGTGTCCCTCCTCCCTGCAATTTCATGTTGAAATCCTAACTCCTGATGTGACAGCATCAGGAGGTGGGGGCCTTTGGGAGGCGCTTCAGTTAAGAGTGGAGCCCTCCCTTCCGCTGGGTGAGGCTATCGAAGTTTGCCACCTAGAAGAGCCCCAACATCCCTGGACCATGCTGACACCCTTATCTCGGACTTCTGGTCTCCAGACCTGTGAGCAAAAGATGTCTGTTGTTCATCAGCCCCCTGGCCTGTGGCATTCTGTTAGAGCAGCCCAAATGGACTGAGACAGCTAAGGAGGGTGAGGTATTTGCTCAGTAAGGGTGTTTGCTCCAGAATTATAGAGCCCTGGACAGAGCAAGAAAATTCTAAGGTCCTGATGCTGATTTGGAGACCATCTGGCAGCACCAGGTAAAGGCGTTTTATCTCTACCCCAGGTTGGGGCCAGGGAGTGAGGTGGGGAATTCACAGACCTAGGGACACCTTTCCTGTATCTAAGATCCACCTGCTCCATTGATTTCTAGGTCAGTGTAAAGGGCATTCCCCCCAGGGGCATAAGTCAGGTAACTGGGTGAAAGGAAAAAACATTCCAACAACGGTAACCACCCATCTGTTACTTAGGTAGATGGCCCTACTATCTGGAAGGTGTGTACCTACTCTTGTTTTGCAAATTAATTACAAGTGTTTGGATTTGGGTTGGGGCCAAAGATTACTCTGCCCCTGTCTGCCTCAGCTTCTGTTAAACAGGGTTGATAGTGGTACCTACATGAGGGACTTGGGGTGAGATTCTGAGGAGGTAATTTACCTAAATCCAGGCAGCCCCCGTGGTGCAGTGGTTTAGTGCCGCCTGCAGCCTGGGGTGTGATCCTGGAGGCCTGGGATCGAGTCCCATGTCGGGCTCCCTGAGTGGAGCCTGCTTCTCCCTCTGCCTGTGTCTCTGCCTCTCTGTGTCTCTATGAATAAATAAATACAAATCTTTAAAAAAAATAAAGTTTTTTTTTTAAAATAATGATTTACCTAAATCCTTTCTAAGCTGTGTCTGGTGGACAGCAAATATCATCTAAGTATTTACTATTATTATCATTATCAACATCCCAAATTTCTCCCTTACATGTTGAAACAGCTTTATCAAGAACTGCACTCCTAGTGGGAGACTTTCTAGGAAACAGAGAAGGTACTTATCCTTCAAATGATAACAGTAAATATCCTCATGGTTACAATGAATTATAAATATTAGTGGAAAGCTGCATGACCTCTCAAGATCTTCCAGGTTCTAAAAAGGCCAAGGGTACACGTCTGTGTCTCTAACTCAGCTCAACTGCATGTGACAAGGTACAAGCATTAAGCACAGATGACACAGTCTTTTCAAAATGTGATGCTCAAGGAGACAAAACTGGAAGAAAAATATTGTAGGCTGGAGTTGCTTTCTGTAGAAGGGAGAAATTTTAAATAATTTGGGGTTATTCAACAACTGGTGAGTCATTTTTTCCCCTCTTCCTTATCCTTGGCATGTAAGGAACCTTCTGAGTTTCTTGTGTGATGGTCACACATACTGCTTCTTCTGGTGTGAATACGTGTAACGGAACGTCTCACCTGGAGGCTATTGATAAGCTCAACCACCTTTCCTGTGTTCTTTCAGCCACTGTTCACATCCGGGCAACTGTAACCAAGGGCAACAGGCTGAAGAAGACAGGAAGATGTCACCTGCAGAGGGGTGGTGGGGGAGGAGTTGGCAGGTGGATGACTGGATCCAGGTGCATGGACAGATTATCAGCAATGGAGCCCAAGAGTTTCCTTAGGGATTCGCCAGAGCCTTTTGTACACCCTTACAGTCTAACGCAGTTCTTACAGGGCCAGACCCCCCCAAACCAGCTGCTACACAGCCTATTTAACTTGTGGGGATGAGAGGGTCACCTGACTGGCCAAGGCAGGAAGCAGGCATTCTGACAGAGGACAAGGAAAGAGAAGTTGCTCATCTTAGGCTCCCCTCTTATTTTCCCCAGTCCAGTGGTTCTTCACTAGGAGCGATTTTGCTACTCAGTGGCATATGGCAATGTCTGAGACATTTCTGGTGGTTGTGGCTGGGGATGGGGGATAGGCGATGCTCATGGCATCTAGGAGGTAGAGACCATGGATGGCCACAAAACAGCCGATGATGCACAGGACTCCTCCCCACCAAGAATTAACCAGCCCCAAATATCGGTAGTGCCCAAGATGAGAAACTCTGCTCCAGACCTATTGTCTCATTTCCAGGTCGACACCAGAGTTCCTTCAGGGATTTTACAGGTGGAGACCATACTCTCCTCCAACTCCTAAAGCCTCTAATTACTTAAACTATGTGCCCCGGACCAGTAAGCTGCTTCAGAAGCTACTTACCAGAATACTGGCTCAACCACCTTTCCTGTGGTCCTGTCTTCCTTCAAGGTCACTTGAGGTGTTTGGTTTTTTCTCCCTTTATTCCAAAGTGTGATTTGTGTCCAGCTTCCCAGTGATTTCTTTGGAGCCAGACCCTAGAAGCCTGATGGTTCGTGGGGCTTACTCATCGTTTCTGAAGTCAGAACTGTCAAAGCAGTCTCTGGTCAGGAGGAGAGCAAATGCAGCTGGCAGGGGGTGGGAGGGGAGGGTGAGTAGACAGGAGGTGTTTGAGACAAACAGTGTCCCCCTTTCTGACACTGTGGCTCCCTAGGACACACAGGTGAACAACTATGAGTGGTCCAATAGAGAACAGCACAAACAGTGGCCTGGGGTGAAGTACAGGGCTGGGAGGAGGTGGGGTCTTCGGGTGGTCTCAGAGGTCTACTTCTTCTGCTGTGGTCAGCTCCTAGAGGTGGAGCCAGCAAAGCTGTGGGTGGTAAAGGCAATGAAGAGTGACATGGTGAGTATCATATCCGCAGAGCTTCATGAAGCTTGGTCCCACCCTGGCTCTGCTACTCACTAACTGTGCGACCCCGGGCAACTCATGTAGCCAGCAGGCTAGAGACCCTGAGGAAGAGCTGATGTTGAGTCTAGAGGGGGTAGCTGTAAGAAGAATTCCTTCATCCCCAAAGGAGATCAGTCTTTCTCTTTTGGCCTTCAACTGATTGGATGAGGCCCACCAATATTACGGAGACTAATCTGCTCCACTCAAACTCTGCAGACTTAAACGTTAATCACGTCTTTTTAAAAAATGAATTTAGGTTAAGACTGCATTTGTTTTAATTCCAGTGTAGTTAATATACAGTGTTATATTAGTTTCAGGTGCCATCTTCCTGGCAACCAGTCTAGACTGGTATTTTACCAAATAACTGGGTACCATAACCTAGTCAAGTCGACACATAAATCTAACCATCACACCTGCCTACACAGGAAGCTTGGGGTCCCTGAATGGGATCCGGACATTCCTGGAGTACACTCGCTTTTTCTTTCTGCATCCTATCTTACTTAATTCTGTTCCCTGGATAGATCTAAAACTCAGAAAACCTTCCTCCCACAAACCAGCGAGAGAACTGATAGGAATTTCCTTTCTTTTGAGAAATCTGAAAAATACTACCTAATAGAAGTAACCATCAAATAACAGTTACATATCCACCACCCAGAATTATACTTGCTTACAGCTCATCGTATTTGCTCTAAACTGTTTTCTTTACACACACACACACACACACACACACACAAAAGATTTAAAGAGTGCTCTTTCCCTCTCAACATTATTTTTCTCCTTCCCAGTAGAACCCTCCACCCTGTGGTTAGTGTTATTTCTGTGCATGTTTTTATACTTTTACTACATAGGCATGCCTTTGTAAATAATGCATAGAGTTTTAAATTTTATTTAATTTTATTTAAATTTAAACTCAAGAATTCTGTCTTCTAGATAAAACTGAAAGAGAGTCTCCCAAGATGGCAGAAACAGGAGTAGGTAAGACAGTAGAGCTTCCTGGGACAAAAGGTCATTCACCCGTGGGATGGGACATCCTTGTGAAGTCCTGAGTTATCCACCTCTGGGAAAATTCTGGAAGATGTCTATCTTTCAGTGATGCCTGAAGGCTGTGGCTCAGTGCTAGGTCTTTTGAGGTGGGGAGGATCAGAGGCACAGCTCTGCATATTCAGTAGCTGGGCCACTTTGGAAATGGTACTTCAATTCTCTGACGCTCAGCTCCGGCATCTGCACAGGGGGGCATCACTTGGTCTCCCTCCCAGTGTGAGAAAAACGTAGAGGTAGATCTCCAGCACGCGGCAGGAACTCAATTGATGGTAGACACACTGAGGCACCAGAACATGTCTCAGGAAATGGAGGGCGCTCTCAACTCTTCTCCTCTCCCCAGGGACCGTGGAGCTCACCCTCATTGTGATCTTCATCCTTCTCTTCATCCTCGGAGTCTTCCTCATCTACAAATACACCCGGTGTGGTGAGTTCAGGAAAGCAACCGCTACGTATTTGGGAGGAAATGGAAGAAATGGAATGGGAAAGTTAACACCACAGGGTTGATGCTGTCTCTCTTTCATCCCCAGGGGCAGCTCCTAACAAGATGACCAAATGGTAGGGCTACTCGGAGGATCCCATCAGCCCATACTTAACTCCTCCTCCACTGCTGCCTTGATTCCTCAGCACCTTTCTTACCCTTACCCCAATGACCACCCCAAGCATCTCTCCATGTCTTCTCTTCTTACGACCACCCTTCAATTCTCACCCAATGATCTTTCCTCGGAGCCTGTCCTCATGGACCACCCCTTCCCCCCCTCCTCTCACAAGACTCTGCTGGGCACCTGAACAGCCTGGGGACCCCAGGGAGTGGTACATGAGTATGGAGGAGGTGGGGGGACTTTGGTTTACATACAATCTTGCTTGCCACCTCACCTCCGCCCATCCACCATGATCCCAGTGTCTCACTCCAATTTCCTTCACCTCCAATGCTTCAATGTTTCTCTCCTTCAGCTCCCGCTCTTCTAAGGACCCTCAAGAACGGAGGACAAGTGTTCAGCCTGGGAAAGAAAGCGATGGTGGGTCCCCTGTGTGTGTGTATTTGTACGTGTGCAGGGTGTGCACATTTGCGTGCTGCCTGTGCCCATGTAAGCATGTGTATTTGAGTGTGCACATGTGAGTCTGCACATGTAGGTGCGCAGGGATGTATGCATGCATGTGAACATGTGTATGCATGTAACAGTGCACAAATGTGTGTGTACGTGTGTCTGTGAGTGTGTGTTTGTAGATGTGTGTGGTTGTATAAGTCTGTGTTGCATGTGTTTGTGTGTGGTTTGTATGTTCATGTGTCCGTGAATGTACGTATGCGAGTGTGTGTGTGTAGGAGTAATTGTGAGTGCACATATATGTGCATGTGTGTGTGTGAGAGGATATACAGGGATAGGTGTGTGCATGTGAGGGTGTGTATGATGAATGTCCTTGTGAGTGGTGGTGTGTGTGGAGATTTCACCCTGGGAGCCTGGGGGCACGGCAACAGCAGATTCTTTTCCTTCCCAGATCTGTCCATGGCTATCACAAACTGTTCTCCTGCCTTGGTGAGTTCCCACTATGGCCACCCCATCATCACCCCTCCTTGTCTCAGGTTCTCTGTCACTCTGCCTGGTTTTGTCAATGGTTTGGGGCCTCTGCATTCCTCCTCACCGCCCCCACCCCAGCCCTCACTCAACTTTCCAGAGGAATCTGGGTTGAACTCTTTATCCCATGACTTGTCCTTTCTGGGGACATTTCCCCATGTGACGTGGGATGCAGGCCACCTTCTCTCTAGAACTAATGGGATGATTTAATGAGCTCAGAGCCACACAATGATCAGTCAGATCCCAGTCATGGCATTGCGTTCAATACCCCTGAACGTACTATTATTATAAACTGTTAGAATCTCGGGCCAGCGACCTTCCCATCCTGAACATCTGTTTCTCCATCTGGACAATGGGGATAATACAGCCCACCTCTTGGTGCTCTTAATGAAAATATGGTAAGATCCCCTGTAAAGCACCTACCATGAAATACATCCATAGTACATCCTGCAGCTATTGATAGTCACCCTTATTTTTTTTACAGTTCAATTTTTAAAAAATTGCAGCAAAATTCACATCACATAAAATTCGTAATTTTAACCCATACAATTTAGCAACTTTTGGAATATTCACAATGCTGTACAATAATCACCAATATCTAATTCCAGACTGTTTTCATGGTGCCCCAAAAAACCACACAGCCTTTAAGCACTCTCCACATGCCCACACCCCCACCCCAAGCCCCTGACCACCACTAGCTTTCTGACCCTAAGGACATTTCATATTAACACTCACTCTGATGGCTGTGGGTATAAATTATCTATGGTTCATAACAATTCATCCCCAACGTAGTGGCTTAAGCAACACTTAATGATCTCACAGTGTCTGCAGGTCAGGAATCTGAGTGTGGCTCGTGCCGGGTCTCACAGGTTGGGATTTAGGCTTGATGAAGAGAGGATGTGTTTCCACATCCACTCACTCAGGTGGTGGCTGGTGGAATTCAGTTCCTCACTGGCTGTTGGCCACAGACCATCCTGACCATATGGGCCTTTCCATAGGACAGCTTATGACACAGCAGCTGGCTTGATCAGCGTGAGCAAGTGACCAGTGTGAACAAGATGGAAGTCAGTCCTTCATAACCTAGTCTTGGACATGATGACACACAACAGCCCATCTTTTATGCTTATTCTGTTTGACAGATGCACATCCCTAGATTCCATCAAACTTCAAGAGGGTAGGGGAACACAGCAAGACTTGAAGAGTGGGAGGCTCTAACACAGTTGTCTACCACAACTTGTCCCAAACGCTCAATCTTCACAACCCAACACTTCTTCCTGGGAGTACTTGATCCTTTTCTCCTTGCTTCCCTTTCAGGATAAAGCATCCCAGGTGTCAAGAGCTGAGGAACCCCACACAGTGACTTATGCTGAGCTTAACACCAGAGCCCTAAGAGAGGGTCTTTCCCTGCAGATGGAGCAGCCCCTGGAAACCTGCGTGTATTCGAGCCTTAAGGCATAGCCAGAAGGGCACCTGTAGCCCACGAAAGAACTTCTAGCACGGAGATGGATGATAAAGAGAGGAAGGACCCTTGGGACACTAGGCAAATGGGGATCCCTTCCCCCAAATTTTCAATGAACACTTGTTTCCTTCTTCTAAAAATTTGTTTTCAAATGAGAGGTATCATTTGCACAGAGTAAGATGCACAAACCTTACATAGCCAAGTGACTGTGTGCGTGTGTATATATATAGATCTCAGTGATAGATCTCTACCTATTCCCTTTGGTATAACTACTGTCCAAATAAAAACAGCATTTCCAGCACTCCTTCTAGAAGGTTTCCTTGCACCACTCTCCAGCTAACCGCCATTTTCGCTGAGATCATTCCTTTCTCTGACTTGTGTCACCTTGGATGACTTGCCTGTTCTTCATATGCACTCATACACCTGCGATACACCACATGTACTCTTCTGCATCAGCTGCTTCCACACACATATGTTATTTCTGAGGCTCATCCCTGATGTTACTCATATCCATATCTTCTTCCCTTTTTACTGCTGAGTATTACTCCGTTGCATGGTCATGCAAAGTTTGTTGATCCACCTTCAGGTGGATGGACATCTGGGTTGCTTCCAGGCTGACGTTTCTATGGGTCAGGCTGCATGAACACTCTTAACTATGTCTTTGTGGCATACATGCAGGCCTTTCCCTGGATTGTAAATAGTGGGATGACTGGGTCAAAGAACAGGTGTGTGCTTCATTTCATTAGACACTTCTGAACAGTTTACCAGAGGGGTTGTACCACTTCCTGTTTCCTTCTTGACAAGTGCCCAGTGCCTTTCTTAGTGGTCACACTCTGTTCCCACTCCCTTCTCTTCACATAACCTTATACAAGTCTGTGGGCTTGAGCCAGCCTTCACTGTGGCTTGTGACCTCCAATGATCCTCACTGCTGGTCTTCGTGCCCCTATGTAATGCCCTCCCCTGGCTTTGGAAGACTTGTTTCTAACCTACAGAATGAGGCAAAGAAGGCAGGATGTCAGTTCAGCACTTGCATTACTGAAGAATACAACTACCACCTAGACAGCAGGCTTTCTCTTGCCTTCTAGGATTGTGCACTTGCTTGATGATGTGAGCTCCCCAACATGGAGAAGCCCACTTGGCAAGGAACCAAGAATAGTCTCTAGCCAGTAAGGAACTGACTCCTGCCAACAAGCATGTGGTATGTGTTGTGTAATAAAGAATATGGCTGGTCTTTTTCCTTGGCTTCTGGGAGGTAATCTCTAAGTGCTCAGAATCTCTCGAGTAACAGGAGTATCTTTGCTATTCACAGTGGGTGCTTTGTACCACAGCTGCATTTATGCCAATCAGATGACCCGGGATGGAGGTGGTGATTCTAGAAAGATCAACCATATGATTACAGGGTTACAACCTTGACCTCTGGGGATCAGAGGGGGAAACAGTCAGTTATGTGGGTAGTGATTCAATCAAAATCACACCTATGTGAGGATATCCTGATGAAAACTCTGGACACCACTTGGGGAGCTTTCTGGCTGGTGACACATCCTGAGAATATAGGAAGCTTTGCTTTGGGGGCCCTCCCAGACGTCCCTCTGTGTGTCTTTTCATCTAGGTGGTCTTGATTTGTGTGCTTTGTAATAAAAACTATAAACATAAATACAGTACTTCCCTGAATTCTTTGAGTAGTTCTAGCAAGTTATTGAATCTGACAGAAGCAGGAACCTCCAAAATTTTAGGTCATTGGTTCAGAAGTGCAGGTGACTCAGGATACCTACGTCTTTAGCTTGTGTCTGCAGTGAGGACAGTCTTGTGGGCGCTGCACCGTCAGCCTGTGAAGTCTGTGCTAACTCTGGGTGGGTTGTGTCAGAATTGCATTGGAGCTCGGAAGCAGACCCTTCCTCAGCTGAACTCTCAGATTAGACCCCAGCCTTGGCTGACACCATGTTGGTGGTGGTGGGGGCTTCAAATGGTTTTCTGGAAAGGGAATGGGCTTCTGACACAGAGCTGGGTTCCAACTCCTGCATCTGCCTCTTTTACCTCTATGTCTTTGCACAAGGGAATCTGCCCTGCTGCCCCTCACTTTACATATTTCCAGTGAATTTTCCCCTGGCACTCTAATTTTACCAAATATGATTTGGCAGGAAGCACACTGGTTCACCTGTACCGTGAAGTCAGCAAGTTAGTCAAAATGTAGGTAAACCGGGATTTACATTTTTAAGTTGCAGAGACACATTTTGCTATCTAAAGACAAATCAGTGAGGGTGGTGGAAAAGAATGGAAAGTTGCCATTTCAGACCTTCTGATAATTTCATTTCTTGGCTAAGTAAGAGCCTGTGAGTCACACACAGCTTTCCCAGCAGACAAAAACGATTGTGGGTGTAGACACCATGGCTTCACCAAAATCACTGCAAATCCTGAAGAACGTGGCACTGTGCCCACGCATGATGGTTCTTCAAGCATGGTGCTGACACACGTGTACCTCATGACAGGGGCCTCTGGTCATGGAATGAGGTCTAATGATTAATAGTGTTGCTCTGCAACCATAGGTCCAAGCAGTTCTGGAGAGGTCTGTGCCAGCTTCTCAGTGCTATTTACTGGTCAACATGAGAAGGATGATTCACACTGGGTCCTGAGACCCTCCAGAGGCCTCTGCCACTGGGACGGCCAACATGCCTGTCATGGAATAGGAAACCCCAGCCAAACACCCATTTTGGGTTTCCTTGTTCTGAGACACTTTGTGAACATGCTGGTGACCCTCTGACCCAAGAGAGAAAGTCCATCTAGGCAGCTGAGAGGAGAGAAATCCTTTTTTTGCCTGGGATGCACACTCTCATTGTAATGCTCTACAGCTTCTATATTGTATCCTTCCCCTACAACACACAACATGTGGGTTCTATCAGTCTGCTTTAGCAACTGAACCTCATGGCATAGTTAGTAAAAGAACTATTTGTTGGGATACCTGGCTGGCTCAGTCGGTAGAGCATAGGACTCTTTTTTTTTCTTTATTTATGATAGTCACACACAGAGAGAGAGAGAGAGAGGCAGAGACACAGGCAGAGGGAGAAGCAGGCTCCATGCACCGGGAGCCCGACGTGGGATTCGATCCCGGGTCTCCAGGATCGCGCCCTGGGCCAAAGGCAGGCGCCAAACCGCTGCGCCACCCAGGGATCCCGAGCATAGGACTCTTGATCTCAGGGTTGTGAGTTTGAGTGACATGATGGGCACTGAATTTAATTAAAAAAAAAAAAAAGAAAGGGATGCCTGGGTGGCTCAGCAGTTGGGCATCTGCCTTTGGCTCAGGTTGTGATCCTTGATCCATGGATCGAGTCCCTCATCAGGCTCCCTGCATGGAGCCTGCTTCTCCCCCTGCCTATGTCTCTGCCTCTCTCTCTCTCTCTCTCTCTCTCTCTCTCTCTCTCATGAATAAATAAATAGAATCTTAGAAAATAAAAAAGAAGAAGAAGAACTATTTGGCTATAGTCCTTAGCTCTTAAGACAGTGGGGAATGTCTAGCAACCTGAGTATCCAGGATTTTCCAATATTTTCAACAGTGAGGTACCTTTATCTCCTCTTAGGAACTCTTCAGGCTCAAGCCTTGGGCATCTGGGGGGAGGGGGACACATTTGATGCCTGAAATTTGTGACAGATGAGGACTTTCTGTGAGCCAAGTCTTTGAAGCCAAGTGTGCAAAGAGTATGTTGCAATCGGCAGCACCAACAACATTTTCAGAAAGCGGCATGGAAGGAGGAACTGAAAAGTCTGAGAAAGATCATTACTTCGACACTGTGGATTCAGGGCAAGGCCATGGCCACCCCAGCTCCTCGCCCACCTATGGACTGCAGAACTGAAAGTAGGTGTTGGACAGGCAGAAAGTGACGTGCTGCCATGATTTCCCAACTACTCCCACTCCTCTGTCTCAGTAAGTGTCACAGGGCACACACTGGGACCACAGAAAACAACAGAATTGGTAAGAGGTTTGGTATTGCTTCTCGGCCTCTTGGCTAAGATCAAGTGGGGTAAGAGATTTGGACTGGGGATGGAAAGAGAAAATAAAGCATCAGCTTTGGTTTATCGGCTGCATACTATATATCAGAAATCTTGCTGAGTGCAATGCATATGCTACATAATGTAAGCCTGTGCTTTACAAATTTCAATTAGTCTTGTTCCAAGTTCAGGGTTTCTGCTGAATGCCTTTGCTACCTGTACTTTATTGGCTTAATGTGTTTTGTTTTTAATATAGACTCAACCTTTTTTCCTTAAAGAAAAGTGCTTATAATAGAAAATCTTGATACTATCAGCAAAAATCTTGATACTATCAGAAAAATCCAGGTCAAATACAAGGACTATAAAGTAAATTCAGTGATAAGGAAACAATGTTAGGATATTGTAACTAGGGATCCCTGGGTGGTGCAGCGGTTTAGCGCCTGCCTTTGGCCCAGGGCACGATCCTGGAGACCCGGGATCGAGTCCCACGTCGGGCTCCCGGTGCATGGAGCCTGCTTCTCCCTCTGCCTGTGTCTCTGCCTCTCTCTCTCTCTCTCTCTCTGTGTGTGACTATCATAAATAAATAAAAATTAAAAAAAGGATATTGTAACTATACACTGGTCCTCATCAAGCTTCTGAGCCTGAGACCTGCTAGTTCTTGCTCTAAAGGCAAAAAGCCACGATCCACATATATCAGAGGCTAGCTTCAAGGAAGTTTCCTTGGTGATATAATCAGCTCTACTGGACTGCATACTGCATGCAATCATATAGTGCTTTTTTAAAAAAGATTATTTATTTGAGGGACACCTGGGTAGCTCATTCGGTTGAGCATCTGCCTTTGGCTCAAGTCATGATCCCGGAGTCCTGGGATTGAGCCCCACATTGGGCTCCCTGCTCGGTGGGAGTCTGCCTCTCCCTCTACAACTGCCTCTCCCCCCACTCATGCTCTCTCTCACATGCCCTCTCTTTTTATTTATTTGAGATAGAGAGAGTGGATGCACACAGAAGGGTGAGGGTGAGGGACAGAGGGAGAGGGAGAGAGAATCTCAAGCAGACTCCATTCTGAGCGCAGAGCCCCAGGCAGGGTTCCATCCCACAACCCTGAGATCATGACCTGAGTGGACACCAAGAGTCGGATGCTTAACTCTGTCACCCAGGCACCCCCATGTAATGCTCTGATTGTCCTTCCTTCCACCTAAAATCATCACACATAAAACTGATGGGATGTGTTCTACATTTGGGAAATATCACTATGATCTACCCCCCCCTTTAAAAAGAAAAACCCTTCAAGAGAGAATGAGGTACATTTTTATAGATCAGGCATCAAATTTGAGTCTGCAAAGTGAGCGAGTTGCCTCAGATTGCACAGGTGGTAAGGAAGCCAGATCTCAACCCAGAACCGCTCAGCTCCAAAAATGTTTCCACTCAGCCATGAGGTCAAATTAAGAGGAGCACACATGTGGGGTCTGTGGTATGCAGCACCTTAGGCATGTCTGAAAGGACTTTGGAAAAAGCCTGAGGAGGTAGAGAGGAGTGGTTCCGAATGTCCCTGGTTATGGAGCTAGAACTGTACCTCAGAATGAACTGGTTTCCGGACACCAACAAAGCTTGTTATTCAGAAAAAGTCAGGGGAGGAGGACCCGCCTCTGCATGGCCCTCTGCACTCAGCTTCCTGCTACCACTACAGTTCTCTGATCCCCAGGGTCCAGGCTCCTCCCCGGAGCACCCCTACCGTCAAAGGCTCACCTT